GCGACCATTTTTTTTTCCGTTTCACTTCCAGACCTTCTATTTCACTGCTCGCTACGTGGCTGTTGGGAGATCTTCAAGCCACATGTCAGAAAAGATCTCCTACTACACCTTTAATTTAAGACATTTTTATTTATTACTAGATCAGTTTTTGTTGTGAAGGTCCTTCATGCCTATCAACATATGAGTTACAAAAACATTTAATTTCCCTTTGGGATCAATAAAGTATTTTGGAACTGAACTAAACTGAATAAAGACATACCTCTGACAATTAAGACATTCCACTGAAAATTAGTACCTATATTAAGACCATGGAGCTAATTTCTCATTTTGAGAACAATTTGTGTTCACAAAAAAACATTATAATGAGAGTAAAACATGTCATAGTGCAATGGTCTTAGGCGATTTTACCGTTTTACAACTGAATAGATGGAACCATCAGATCAACTGATAAAATGTCTGGACAGATATATAAAGAGACATAAACTAAAACATTCCCTTTTGTAAATTACATTTCAAGGTGATTCTATAATGCATTATCAACATTTACTATCATAATCATCCTTTTTTTCTCCCCTTTTGCAGTTATTAATTACTGATTTGGTCTATCATATAAACCCCCAATACAATACATCAAAGTTTGCATTTTTAAAGTAACAACACTCATAAAAAATAAAGTGGTATTTTTGTAAGAAAATAGGTAAGGTTTAAGACATACCGGTACCTCTGACAATTAAGACATTCCACTGAAAATTAGTTCCTATATTACAGTAAGACCATGGAGCTCATTTCTCATTTTGAGAACAATTTGTTTTCACAAAGAAAACATTATAATGAGAGTAAAACATGTGATTTTGCAATGGTCTTAGGCGATTTTACCGTTTTAAAACGGAATAGATGGAACCATCAGTTCTGCTCTACCAGAAAATCCTGATTAATAAGCCCCCTGGTTGATGACCTTAAGCTCAAGGACATGGCAGTGTGGGTTATGCAGCTGGACAATAATCCTAACAATAATAGCAAATCCACCTCTGAACGGTGTGCAAACCATGAGCGCAGCACTTTAAGCCAGACGTTGGTCCTCGACCTGGCCGGTGTCCTGCAGGTTTTAGAGGTTTCCCTGCTTCAGCACAGCTGGGTCTGATGATTGCAGTTCAGCAGAACCCTGTTAATCAGCTATCAATAAAAAATCAGCTGTGTTGGAGCAGGGAAACCTGTAAAACCTGTAGGACAGTGTCCCCTGAGGACCGACGTAAGGCATGCCTGCTTTAAGCAAAGACGTGGGATTGAACCTAGGTTTCCTGTTAAAGAATACAGCATATCTAACTTTGTATCAGAACAGAAAAAATCTATTTAATGATAGGATTTAATATGTCATTGCACAAATTAGTTAAAAAAAGGTTTAAATAAATTAAGGTTTTAGAAAATGTCCATAGAACTCATATTTTTTTCATTTCACTCCATATTTCCATCTCATAATTCACAGCCTGTTTTTATATGGGAATAACACGTAAATACCAGAGTAGCTGTTGCCGAGGACAACAATCTTAAACATATCTCCCCCACATTGTCCCCAGCTCCTCCCCTCTTTACTTGTACTCGATGTGAAACTGCTCCCTTTATCTATTGCAAGCTGTTAGGCTAACTGAGGTCACAGAGGATGTGTAGCGCATTTGGTCACAACGTGAAGGCATTAGCTGCTGCCACCAGGTGTGTAATTATACATGAAATAGTGTTTTTTTTTTTTTTAAGGAGGCTTGCATGGAAAGAAAGTAGGCCAACACGAGTCATCTTCAGAGAATTCCTATTTATTCCTCAACCGCTTCATATGTGTGACTTTCTATTTGAAGTTGTGAAATAATCCAAGTTCACTGTAACTATTTCAGGACTCTTAAAAATAGCATGAGACACATGTCAGCTCCAGGACATGGCAAAATATTCACACCATCTGGATTTTATAACATTTTGTCAGGTGCAGTAAGAACCGCAGGCTTTCAAGTACTTCATTGTGATTTAAACCAGACCTGCACAAGCTGTGTTTAGGTGTAAAAGATTGTTGTTTTTTTCAATTCCTTGCATATATCAATCTGAAAAAGTGGCCTGGTTTTGTGTGGATATCCTTTGACACAAATGCTGCTGATTTTTCTCCCCACACATGTTAAACTTAACAATTTTTGTAGAGAACTGACACTAAGTATTACCGATAGCAAGGGGGTCATACCCAGCGTGCGAAATACCTGTCAATATTTGGGGGGGGTCCCCATCTCCCGATTGTTGCGCAATACTAATCTAAATTTTCTCAATATGAAGTAGGCCTATAACATTTCAAAGTCAAAGTCAGCTTTAATGTCAATTCTTCACATTCACCAGACATACAAGGACTCAAGAGGACGTTTCTCATTCACCAACAGTGAAACAGATAAAGTGCACAGGCACAACAGATAAGATCAGTTCCTAATACTAAAATTTAAACATTCAATTTTCCAATAAACTATCAAATGTACAATAATATAAAATATGCAATACTTATGCTAGTGCAAAAAAGCAGATGGTAATGGCAGCAGAGAAATATTATTACCAATTATGTAAGATACAGTATTTGTAACAGTAACAACAGTGCAAAAGAAAAGTAAATAAATATAGTAATAATAGTAGTGTTTTTTGTTTTTTTTGAGGGGCTCAGCTTCCTGACAGCTTGGTGGATGAAGCTTTCTGTGAATCTGGTGGAGCGGGCAAGAGCCTGAACAGACAGTCAGTCTATGAAAACACACACATGCACAAAGACTGTCTGTCTGTCTGTCTCTTTTATGCTTGCACATGTCCTGCTTTAATCCAGTTTCTGACGAATGGAACTGGGTCGAATTTGTCCAGAGGAGGTCCGTTGAGGTCCACAAACATCAGTGAAGACCTGCTGTCTTCGCGCAATCTGTTTCATGTTATTATCTGCGGAAAAGTACATGGCTAATTTGCATACGCTAACAGGGTTGGCTGGCTCCACTTGGCAGCAAAAACAACATATTTGTGAATAGGGATGCACGATATTGGGATTTTGGCCGATATCCGATATGCCGATATTTTAAAACTCATGTAGCCGATAACCGATA